GATTCGTTTCCCATGATTGTCACGCGCTCAAATGGATCCGACTCGAGTTCAGGTAGAGAGTGACGTAAAAATGGCATAAAAATGTAATGTGGTAATATCGATTTATAATATGAAATGAAACACGATTTGCAATACGAATTACTAATATAACATACATATTGCATGAGTTTTCACACGAGTTAATAATATTAATTGTAAGGGGAACGTGTAATACAAATTATAGTATGAATTCTTAAAAACTAACTGCAACATAAATTTGCAGTATGATCACGTGAATTAACTCGTAATAGAATCAATGAGGATCGGGTAAATCTGGAATCTTGAGAATTTGGGGGATTGCGGATTCCCGTGGGAACTGATATAGAGAATCGAGAAGCCATTTTAATCAAATCCCATGCGGGACACGCGAGCAGGCCTCGATTTTATTTCAGCAACGAGTGGAAGCCCGCATGCCTAAATAACTGGTAAATTGACCTTCCACCCTCTATGAAACTGTTAAGTCATAAAATAGGGGTTCTCTAATTGCCCTAAACTACCCTTCATTCCCCTGTCACCCTGGCTAGCCATGAGAAAACCATACGGTATATATAGTCATTTCAGTAAGATTAAAAATTCTATAATCATTTCGTATGCTATTTACATTTTAACTAACTTTAAAGATTAATAATTTTGATAAATTTATTTTGAGTTATAGTTTTGTTTAAGTTTGATTTAAATTTTGAGTGAACTCGTTCAAATCCTAAAATTTTCAATTTTGAACTTGAATTTTAAGTTTTGTTAAAGGCTTATATTTGTACAAGAATATAAAAGGGGACCCACCTAAACCGTAAGGTAAAGGGTTATTACAAAATAAATAAAATAATAATACAATTTTAACTAGCATGAATTTGATGATTTGTTTTTATTTCTAATCTATGTTAAATAAGTTTGGTCACTTATACGAGTGCACTTTAATTGTAAATCTGATAAGAATCGAAGCTCTGAAATGTGAGCTCGTGAAACAAATAAAAGATGTCCCACTCTGGGAAGCGAGACGCGATCAATTTCAATTAAACCCTCGTCTTTTACGATTCGTCTCCACCTTCTATGTCTTTTACAATCGTTCGCAGTCGCGTTCTCACATTCAATCGGTGCCCGTGCAGCAATGCGAATGCGACTGCATTTATTTAGTATTCTCGGTGTGTCTTATCGATAGGGGATGGAATACGAACCACCGTGTGATTTCCTCTTACTAAACAAATAGCTATCTGTCTTTTTTCTCAGCGTGAAAGACATCTTGCGAGATCCTTTAAGGGTCATCGATCCTGAATAACCTTTCAATTTATGTTGCACACTGTGTGCAATGCGTTTTGCATCGCATTTAGTATGCAATATTTGTTA